CTTCTTAGTGTACATTCTGTTGACGTACCCTATTAAAACGCAATCAAAAACGCAAAAAACCGCATCTAAAATAGTATAATAGAAGCCAAGTTCTTCACGGTAAGCCTTAATTCTGTCCCTCTCCCCGAGGGGGATTATCAAAAAATCCCTTTTTAGTGTATATTCGGTTGAAGTACCCTATTAAAACGCAATCAAAAACGCATAAAAACAGCATCTAAAATAGTATAAATGGAAGCAGAGTTCTTCACGGTAAGGCTTAATCCTAACCATCTCCCCCCAGTGGGGGGAATTTCGACATGTATACAGTGATACCTCGACTTACGCTACCCCGACTTACGCGAACCCGGAGTTACGCGATTTTCAAATTCCGACGATTCGTCTTTTGTTTGAGCACCACGCAACTCTCGATTACTCATTCCCTCCACACTATTGTTCAACTTACGTGTTCGGACGTGTCGCGCGGAATCGACGCATAGCTACAATTTATTTTGTGTTATTTATTTCTGTGTTTGTTATATCTACGAAGACTCGAGAGACTCTATGTGGTGATTTCTTGAAACAATGAACGAATCAAAAGACGAGATAAGATTAACGAGAACATTTATTAGCTTACATACATCCGACTTGGATTTTACACACATTGAGAAATTATACCCCGACTTACGCGAATTCGACTTACGCGGTTATCGCTCGGTCCCACCTATCGCGTAAGTTCGGGGTATTACTGTATTATATAACAACACGTGCCTATTCGAATGCAGCGTTGTGTCAAAATTTCAAAGGAATCGGTAGGAATAAACGAACATTACATTTTTATTTATATAAATAGATAGAAGATGATCCGCTTTAGTTCATTTTCACAGAAAAGCATAATGCCTCACAGAAAAGCAAACTTAGGGCGTCGTACTCTAGCGCCATCTATTGGACATAAAAGCCTAGATGATATCTTTTAATTTATATGAATGTTTATCGAATAATATACAGCCTATGGACATAGGCTGTATATTATTCCGGTACCCTGAAGTTCCATTCTAAATATTGGTGAAAGAACTTTTGAAATCGGATGAACAGTTTCGGAGATTACCCACTACATCCAAACTTACAAACATTACCTCTTTATAATATTAGTATAGATCAGTGTTTTTCAACCTGTGGGTCGCGACCCCCAGGGGGGTCGTAAAGCCTTACACGGGGGTCGCGGGTGAAAGAAACAGACAAGTGTTTGTAGGTCCTACACTACAATAAAAAAAAACCAGAATTTCAGTGAGAAGGCTGTGCCTGTTTATTTTACAGCACAATTGGTTTTTCGATCGATATTTAAAGAAAGAAAATTAAATACGTAGTTTTTAAAATCACTGATATAGTTTAATATGGCCCTGGGGGTTGCCAGAATTTTTTAACTTGTAAAGGGGTCGTGTATTCAAGAAGGTTGGAAAACACTGGTATAGATAAATAAAATCTAGAAAATAACTATATCTGAGATAAAACAATCTAGATTTATATCACTTATCTAATTGCCTAAATCTCAAATCTTGGTGCAAACAAAACAGTCTAGATTTAAACGAGAAAAATAGACTTTAAAGTAACAACTCTTCCCAACACGTAATATAGACTTCAACGTTTTGACTTAAAATAAAATGGCGATCAATAGTAGCCATAGTTGCCACCAAGAGCGCTGTATCTGTAAGGTCACAGCACTCTATTGTAGTATATTCTAGCTCGTTGCTATTGTCATATTCTTGACGGTGTTTATGGCAATAGCATTATAAGATATACGCGGAAATAACCTTAATTTTTTTTAAAAAGTATTTAATACAAGCATTGTGTAATATCAATGTCAATAAAGAATTTTTTTTGTTGCTTTTTATGCTGTCAGTGTTTCTCTACCAACGTCCCAGCTATTCCTTATTCTAAAGGTTGGCAAGTATGCACTGATCACCTCACCCGGCCGCCGCCATTATGAGTCTTACCGAAAAAAAAGACCGTCTTAGTGCTAACGAAGCGAAAAGTTTTAATAAAGGGTATTAATGCCCGAAGATTCATGGAACACCCGAAACAACGCATCATGTCGACAACTATCGCTCGTTCAGAATAATATTTATTATTGATATATTGAATATAACTATTTGATTAGTTTTTATTTATGTGTATAAGCTAATTTATTTAACAGAAAGTGTACACGACTTATTAAACGCAAAACATCATTTAGTACTAAAGACGATTAAAATTTCCATATAAATAGAGGAAGTACTACAAACGATGTTTGTAGTTTGAAATTTAGTGAGGGCGCTTCATTTCGTCGAGGTTTTCTTATAACAATTATATTAAAATATAGCAAGAAAAATGTAATGTCTTGACTATATAATAACTTTTGCGATTATTTATCGACACTCAACAATTACAATTCATCCATTGGGACATCGGTGGGCGGAAACCACATTGTTTCTAAAGTGACGTCAGCTTTGTGTCCTCATAGGAAGTTTTAATCAGTAGAAGTTGTATCTGTGTCTGTTTTTCTCCCACTGAGTTCGAGCGAAACGATGTCGTCAGAAAAATCAGAAACGCAAGAAAAACTTAAAACTTACACATTAGAAGAAATAGCTAAACATAACGACAAAAATTCTACTTGGCTGCTCATTCATAACAAAGTATTTGAAGTTACCAAATTTTTAGAAGAGGTAAGTTTTAATTCATGAAAATTCAACAGATCGTCTTTTTCTTTCTATATGTTTTTTTATTTATTTTTAAATTAATTATTATGTAACATTATGTAACAATTGTTTACCAATTCCTCATTTACCTCAAGGTAACGTGGTTTTATGTTCATTAGTTTCAATGTCAAATGCTTTTGCGAAATAACATTTGATCAATATAAGCTAATCATCATATTAACAGTATTTAACTTAGATTAAATAAGTAGGAAAAAAATTATTTTATCTCTGAAGGGTAGTAAGTGGTTGCTAAGCTTTTTTTTAATCAGAAAAGTTTTAAAAACTAATCTTAATGAAATAAATTAAAAATTTTCAAAATAAAAGAATGCTTTAGTATTAATATTGAGTAGAAGTTATGATTTGGTTGATCAAAATCTAAATCATATGTAAAAAAAATTATTTTTCGATTGTTTTAATTTGAATATTAAAATAAGTATTCGAGAATTGACTATTCCTGTTGCTGTTGAAAGCTTGCCTGTGGCTAGACTGGGGTAAGTTGGCCCCTTTTGCCACTTGGCGGGCCTTTCTGACCATTGTTGTTTTTGAATGAATGAAATACATAACCTAGAATGTTTATTAATAAAATGCATATTTTCTTTTAGTAAAAATAATGTTAATTTTATAGGAGTAGGAACTACTATGGGTCCCTAAGTTTTCTCTGGCCTGGGAAAAAATCCCCAGCTCACCCTTGATGGCCCATCTTAGGAATAGATGATCATGTGAGGCAAATGAATTAATAATGTAAATTGAAGAGTTAAAAACAGAATGTGTTATCAAAGATAGGTGACTTTAATTTTAATAATAGTGCTTTGGTATGAAACTATGGAAATTAGTGTAGTGCTTGATTAATGTAAGTATAGTGTGCAAACAATTTAGAATCTTGACTATTATATTTAAAAAATTAAAGCTAAAAGGAGACATGGATTCAGATAAGTTGTCTTTCAGTAGTTTACATATTTTATGAAATATTAAATTTTTTAATTTTCTTTGAAACTCTATTCAATGTCTTATTTTATTTTCATTAAAACATTAATTAATGTATATATTAAAAGAAATTATTTTTTACTAGTCCTTTAGTGCAAAATTAGATTGTTTTGATTTCTGAATTGTACACTGTCACTTCTTTTTTTACACAATTTTCTGTTTTCTAAGGTTTTAAACATGATAATGTTAAAAGATTACATAAATATTTAGTAACATAATAAACATCTTTCATATAACAATAGTTAATAAAAAATAAAATATTTAAATGCTTTTTTATTCCACATATATGAACAGTTATCAGTATAATTCTAAGATATTCAGAAACATACAGTAAAAATTATTTTTATTTTTTTGCAAATCATTTTACATTACAAATATAATTTTATAGGGAAAGGTATAATTGTTATAATTTGAAATTGCTTGTTTGAATTCAGATATTACTGGAAATTAAGGGCTAAAATAGTATTTTATTCTAATTCTAAGATTTGTTTCTAGACTAGTTACGTCTTCTAACCTATATTAATTCTCCATTTTATATTATTTTTCATAGTATATCTCTTCAGAAAATTTAGATATTTACTGTAATTGAATATGAACAATAGAGAGGTTGAGGTGCACGTTTTAAACGTGTAAACGTGTACGTGTGACGTTCGGCGCCGCTTTCCCGTAAGCCTAAAAGTTTGACGATGGTGTTTGGAATGTCGAGCGTGATTCCACCGACTATCCAAACACCATTGTCAAACTTTTAGGCTTACGGGAAAGCGGCGCCGAAC